AACGTATCCGAAATAATCAATGAATGTTTTATATGAGAATAGCAAGTAATAAGTTTTTCACATATAATTTTGACTTAATAGGAATTATCAAAGGCGAAAATAAAAATTATTTTAACGTAAAATAATAATAGATCAAGTAGACACATGCTTCCTTTCTAAAAAAATATTTTTCTTAAAAGTGGATAAACATTATGACAGCTAAAATCGTGATCATCGATAAAATTAACAGCTATACTCGGTGCATGTAAAGTAGAATTACATAGTACAATTCTATTTCATTGACAAAAAAAATATTTTAAAGCAAATTTTCAAAGTTTTTGATCTTATGCTTACTGTTTTGCATAGAAAAGTAATGCAAAATATCTGAATACATATTTGAAATGTGCGCAAACATTCTAGTTCTAATATGCTCTTTCAAAATCTTTTAAAAAGACTTTTAAGTTGAAGTGAAATGAACAAACATTGTATGTACCATTTTGGCATTATTCTCTCTAAAGGTATCATGCTGTTTAATTGTTCATCAACCTTTGGTAATTATCTCTTTAAACACCTGAAATTCCGTTTCGCATGCTATTTAAATAAAAAGTGAACCAAAGAAAAGTAAAAGAGTTGAATAGGAAAAAAGTGAAGTTTAAAGATAAAAAAAAATAATGAAAACAGGTGAAGTGAAATGATAATATTAGATTCACATGACAACATTTGGATAAATTGTCTTTCTTTTTTTGTCTTTTTTTTACGTTGTATACATTTTATGTATGGAAATGATCATTTTCTCTACTCTGTTAACTATAAATGTCAGCTATGTTCATATTTTTTTGTTTTTTATTTAATCAGATTTTATTTGAAGTGTGAACAGCATTATAGTTTACACTGCAAAAAATGGATGAGAACTAATAACACAAAAAAGATAAAAAGAACAATAGTATAAGAATAATACCATGAAAAGAATATAAAATACACGAATGAGGGGACAACGATCTTATGATCTTTTTATTATTTTAACTTTAGTTTTCACTTCTTATATTTTTAATCATTAATTTTATAATTTTATTATAACTTTTATAATTTCGTTTTTTAACTAACTAAATTTGTTTCTTCTAAAAACATTTGATAACAGCTTTTATAGCTGTTGATCGGATCAATCATTTGGTTCAGAAGGAGCAAATCAGACACTGATGGATTAGATCGAATTTGTAATATATTAAACATTTTAACCCTAAACATATATTATTTAAAACTGGTGCTCAATTAGTTCTACTTTTAATTCAATTTTAGTTTTATTAGAAGAACTAGAAGAAGAAAAAAAAAGTGATAAAGTCGATGTACGTTGTATAAGTATTGATTAAATATCAATATACTACACGGTAGTCTTGAACATTGAATTATGAGGCGAAATACTAACGAAATTCCTAACTGTTCTCCACAAAAAGGGACAAAAATAAATGTATATAGCGATTGTACGTAAAAATTCTGGAAAGTCTTGGCTATCGTATGGTGAAAACCGGTAGTCGGTATCCCCTTCCATTCTCGAGTTATTCAAAAAATGGTATAGTTTGCTACATTCCGTGTTCCAAACTCAAGCTTGAGACGCACTTCCTTTGTAGTGAAAAATTGAAAATTAGCTAAAAAATGTGGTTCTTCACTATGAAGATGTTTTCCAAAATTGGGTCTAGCAGATGAAATGTAGTAAATTGAATTTTCTGAATTTTATCAGATTTGTATAATAATCAAGCATACTGTGGACCCATCGGTGGGTTACATTGCTGCCAATGAGTTAAATTGTTCAATCTTAAAAACATGTATTTTTGTTATTTTTTTTAGTTTTCTAATAAATGAAACTTTGTTTTTGAAATACTTAGCAAAAACTCAATCCCGAACACGTAAAGCTCTGCGTAGAAAAATATTTTGTCATTAAAACATCTTTAGAAGTTATGCTTAGTCTTTTCGATACCTTGTTTGCTATTTAATCAAAGAATAGAAAACAAAATAAATAATGCCTTGTTTTAAATTAAAAAAAGTAATAAGAAATATACAATAAAAAATAAAAAAAGAATATAGACTCTTATAATAAACGCAAACACACATCTACGTGAATAATAGCTCAATAGCATAAACGCAAGATTATTCCACCGAATGACAATTTATATAAATCATCAGCTCGCCAAGAGCGTTGGTGGGGCTCGTTTATCGGAATGTATTGAATTAGACCATGTGTAAGCTGTTTCTGGTTACCAAATCACTTTTTCTTCTGAAAAAATCTTTCATGAGCTTTCAAATCTGTATAGTTGCAAAGTGAAATTAAGAAACAGTTATCAATGCACTTAGAATCCGTAGTTCAATCTCTATCACATTTGTTACTGGTTCACAGAAACAAATAAAAAATTTATCCCAAATTACTGTGATTGTTGCCATGTAAAACCTTTGTGTTAGCACATAAAATCAAAAATGCATAGATGATTACATCATTTTCACTTACAAACGCCTGAGTTTCAAGAAAAGAAGATTATTGAAATAAAATAATTAGCGGTTTTCTATATCCAAAACAGTTTACACGTCTTATTTGTTTCAGTATTTCGATTCTCCAGCAATTCCGATAAAGTCATTTTCTGAACGTTTCTTTTATGACTGGCGACTTGATGAAAAATCTTCGTCGCCATTTTCAAGTTGTTCGTCGTAAGTATACGGATTTTCTTTATCAAAATATTTTTCTTCTTCATCTTGTCCATATATTTCAACTTCATCATAATCTTGATTATTATCAATTGATGAATAATCTATATTCAAATCTTGTCCATTTAAAAATTTACGTTTCATTATACTTAAAAATTCTTGACGATATAATTCACGTTCTTCATCGGAATATTTAGATTTTGGTGGTGGTGGCTCTGAATCATCTTCCATTTCTGACTCTTCTTCATCATCGTCGTCATCGTTTTCTAACTGTTCATTATCACTGAAAAAATTGAAAAAAGATAATATTGACATTAATCAATCAGAAAAGAATTCTCTTATTAAATCCCCAAAAATTAAAAAATAAAAACGATGCACATTATGATTCTAAACTCTTTTGCCTATCTATTAAACAACAAATTTTTACATTTGGACCTAAGCTATTTCCGTAGAGATGTGATCAGTATCATGAGCGCAAAGTTACAAGTCATTCAAACGTTATGTCAAAATGTTTATCTATATGTTCTACATCTATGATTCTAATACCCAATAGCGCCATCTTTCCTAGCTCTCGCTACAGGTTTTCCAGATAAAATGTATTTTTCTCAGCTGAAGACCATTTCTAATGGAAACTGAGATAAAATTTGGAATCAGCACGTTAAACTGCATCAAATGATGTACAATACAAAATATTTTGCAAGAAAAAGTTTCGCATACAAAAAAATCAGGCAGAGAGCTCCGCTCCTCTCAGCTAATTTTCTGATGCAAAAGCATTTCTTTTCAAAGTCGTTTTCTTTTAATTGAAATTAACAGTTTGAGATATCCGAAATTAAACTAAACCTAAAACTTTTCAACGAATAAAAATTCAATGTCTGCATGACATACTAAAATTGTTCACTGGAATTTTTTGATCATAACCATCTTACCTATCTTGCTCATATTCTCCGTTTAGATTATATTCTTGTTGTTTTTCTTGTTTAACTCGTTCATTATAATGAACGCTTTCTAAATGTTCCATGAAAAAATCGGATAATACTCCAGTAGTAGATGTAGGTTTTCTTGTTGATTTTTTATCGGAATAATGTTCAATTAATTGTTCGAATAAGAGTGGTTCACGAGTTTTCATTTCTTCATCGCTGAAATATACGCCTTGTTTTAATAATTGTTGCATATAGACATACCGTCGATTTGCTGCGACTTTTTTACGTTTATTAATAGTTGATAATAACTCTTGCATATATATTTGTATACTTTCATCAGACGCTGATACTATTGTTTCATTAAAATTTGATTTCAAATCTTCCGCATTTAAATATAAGCCATAACGATATAAAAATTTTGATGGAGATGATAAATATAATTCATTTAATAGAGAATATTTTTCGTCCAAAGTCAAATCGGGTTCATTTCTTTGTTGACTTTTGATAACGGCATTACTTGTACAAATACGATCGAACATTGAACGAACGGTGGACGATAGAACGTTCGAAATATACATATTATTATAATCAATAACCATTTTTTCAGTAGCAATAGATCTAGAAAATGAATTCCAACATTTCAATTCTTCAAATTAACAGATCTATTAACTTACATATCTTTATTATTCATGTAATTTTTCTTTTTGAATAAATTCTTCGGCTTCTTTTAATGCTTGTTTCATATCATCAAATTGTACTTTTTCACACGCTGCTTCTAATTCTAACCACTTATAAGTCCAATGTTCGTCCGAGACTTTAATTTCTTGATTTGGATTTCGGATTTCAGCCAAATAATAATAAACGTCTTTTGGAACTTCTTTAGAATCTTTCACAATTTTATACGATAATTTCTTTTCAAATTTTTTGTGATATAACAGATCGTCTTTATTTAAACCAGCTTCCTCTTTAGTTTCGCGTTCTGCCGCTTCTAGTGGAGCTTCGTCACCGTCTAGATGACCTAATAAAAATGAAAGTGAAAAAAATTAATTAAAACAACTTTTATTAGAATGAGAAGCAGGAGAGTAGTTCGACAAGGTGCGCCTCCTAAGCTGATAGAGGTCAGTAGATACTTTGTCATACTATTTGAAAAATCTTAAATCTTAAACCTGACCCATATACTGGAGGTAACTTGTCAAATAAACTCATATTTTACCTATCGTGGTTGCAAAATTAGTAGCTACGGTAACAAAGCAAGACATGGAACACATGCAACTACGAAATAGAATTTACTTTTTTTTTATTCTTTTCTCCGTCTTTCATTACAGTCAGAATTGTTCTGTTCTATCTTCTAGATAAAACGCAAACGACGTTCATTATGAGTGAAACAGGAGTTACAAATAAAGATGATAAGACCGGAGTTACATCAACTGCTAACCAAAGCGGAGAAAGTGGTCTGGAACGAACTTGTGGCACGACATCAACAAGTACCGGTAATGTTGAACGAATAGGTGTCCAAGTGAATTCGGGCATAGATACAGGAGATGGCAAAGGAGCAAAACCGGTTGTATCGACGAGCGGTGGTCACGATTCTTCTGATAAACACAATCAAACATAATAGTCTTGAAGACTGTTTTTTGTTTATTTTATGTAAATTCTACTGATAGACTATGTCTTTTTGTATAAAACAAACCTTACAGTAAAACAAAATACAGTCAAATATTATCCCGAACAAATAAATTAACGATAATTTGGACTCACAAGAGTAATATAACTTGCATCGCTGTTATGAAAAAAAGTCAAGAAGAAAACGTACATACCTTTTGGTGGAGTCCAATGATGTGCACCGTACGATGTTTGAAGTAATAAATATTCGATTCGAGCGCTAATCTTTCGAAATATAATAAAACCGGCAGCAACAAGTTTAGTCATATAAAAAAAATCGTTGCATGTAGCAATGATCCGTTTGTCTAAAACAGAATAAGAACGAAATTTAAAGACAGACTAATATGTCACAAACATATTTCAGGACTAAGATTGAGTAGAACAAATCCTAGAAATAATTTGATTGGCTGATGATGCTACAAAAATTACTAATTCATTTTTATGAGTCATGTTGAAGTCGAGAAGTTGTATAGTTATAAAAGTGACTGACATGTATTACTGCATTTGGAAAAAGCATTTGGTCATAGAATAACTAAGGATTGCTATATTAGAATATACTGATATGTCATCTAAGAAAAAACAAACAAACCAAGCGAGAGAAACATACAAGAAAAAGATCACAGGACAAATATTTCTATATATATTTATACGATAGTGTGTTTCTGTAAAACATGAACAAATGAGTGAGTGAGTGAATATTCAGTAATTACTCGCAAAAACGATAAAGAAAAAAAGGAAGCAAGTTAAAAGGAAGCAAGTTGTATTTCAGCATCCCGTTGATGAGCGGTACATGCTAGTGTCTCTTACATAAAAATATAAATTTGCCATTAGGATTTCTTTTTCACTGTCGTAGTAAAAAAAAAAACGAAAAGAAAAAAACGAACTAAGAAAACAAACATTCATAAGAAAAAAGAAAAAAATATTCTGTTTTTTATCTTCAAAAACATCATACATAATAATACAGCTAATGCTTTGGAAGAAGTTTTGTTTAAATAAGATACATGACCGGTATCGTTTTTGTTTTTTCCCCGAGATAAAGACGATTTACGAATTTATTCGATGAATATCATGTAAGCGATCATAGATGAATAGATAGATGGATCATTGTGTACCGAAGAATCATTTTTATTCAATCTTAACCGCTGCATAAATTTTTCTTACAAATATATAAGATGCATAAAATCCAATTGTGCCAGTTAATATCCAGAATGTAAAACAAATCAAAGTTGTATAACCAAAATATAACATTGTTGGAATTATTTCTGTTATATCAAGCTGAAAAATAGAAACAAAAAATATTGATAAGATGATGAACGTCGAAAATGATAAGACTGAACAAAGATCTAAGAGATGGAAAAAAATGTAATCGAAACCTGACCCAACAAAATGCAACCTAAACTATATAATCAACTATATAACCAAAAATGAGTGCCCATCTCCTTAGATAAAATATTTTCTTTGTACATTTTAGAATTTCCTTGTTACTCATAGTTCTATTTATATACAATATTTTTCTTTTTTGTAAAACAACACTTTTTCCAGTAATGGACATGAAGATGTTGATTTGAATTGAAAGCTCTTGTATGAAGAATAAACAATAATTCATGTGCTTTGTGAAAATCTGTGCTGCAGTTATTTGGAGTTATAATTAGAAATATTAACTTAGCACTTACTTTCAGACTTAAGAATAATATAAGATTTCAATTTTTATCTACATTTTGGTCTGTACTGTAAAAAGTTGAACCCGATTCGACAAAACTCAGCCCGAACTGGTTGCGAAATCTCTAGTTTTTAGTTCCGTGATTGTATCAGAGTCTATTCAAATGAAGCAACAAAAAACAAAAAAACTTTTTATTTTATTACTCTTTAATGGTTAATCAATTATAGTTAGATCATCAAAGCAAACGCCTTCATTAGTTATTAAACTTACTTTAGAGAAGAAATAGAATATTGAATAACCGAATACGTAGAATGCTGATCCGCCTGACGCAATAAATGATCGCCACCACCAATGATAATCTTCACCACACAATTGAAAATATGTAATAACAATTGAAATTTGTGAACATGATATTATTATAATAATAAATACCAAAAATAAGAAGCCAAATAAGTAGTAAAATTGATTTTCCCAGATAGCCTAGAATACAAACATAATAAGTTGAGAAAACGTTGAAGAAAACACACAACAAAATAGCATACCGAAAAAATAAAAAATAATTCAATAAACATGGCTCCAAATGGCAAAACACCTAGTAATAAACACATTATTTTAAATCATCAAATAAAAATTTATCATGCTGAAAAACTTACCAGCCATAAGTGTGCTCAATACGGGATGCATATACCACAATTGTTCAGGAACTTGACGAGGAATTTGATTGGTTCTTACCGGATGTTCATATGGCTAAATCAGAAAAAAAAGAAACCTCAAAAACATATTCTTTGTAGTCTAATTTAAATGATTCAAAGAAATCCTGTCAATTGTTGTTCTTTCTTATTCATTATGTGATACAATGTATTTTTCATCTGATATTTATACTGACTAAATATTTTTCTTACTTGTTTTCTGTATCCAAAATAGAATCCAAGACAAACAAGTGGAAAAGATATTCCTAACCACATCGTTAAAATTGCAAGCATTGTCGAAAATGGTACAGCACCCGATGAACGTTTGCCCCAGATGAAAAAGTTAATCAACAAACATATGCCACAAACAACCGATGGATAAAGTGTGGCAGTCTAGAGAAACAAATAATTTTTAGAAACAAACAAAAACGGAGTAGATGTTACTCTCTCACTTACTAAAGCAGCTGTCCGTCTCCAATTCGTACCTTTTATTGTTTTATACATACGGCCAGAATAAAATCCAGCTATAAGTCTAGAGCAAAAGAACAGTTAATACACACAGATAATCTTCTATAATGTTTTTATAATTACCCCATAAAAACGTATAGAAAACAAGCGGCTGTTATTAATGCACCACGTGATGATGGTGATAACATCCCTAGTGCGGCAAATACTATAACAAAAAGAAATAAGATGAAAATAAAAGACATGTCAAACTTTCATACAGTCACCGTTTACCAATGATAATAAATGACATCATAAATAACTGCACACCAGAGCCTAGTAAAGCTACTAGAACATTATTTCGTCTTGGAGGACGAAAAACATCACCATATACTAATTTCCAACCAGTTTCTTCAATTACGTCCTCCTTCAAAAAAAAAAATGTTATGGTGAACATATTCAAAAGATATAATCGACACGTTTCGTTTTTTTGGAAAGAATATATATTTTTGCCCGAGAAAGAGAGAAGTGCAATCTATGTATCTTATGATTAACGTACTAATACACGCTACACTCTCTGAAGAAGTTCTGTCGTACCTCGTATCATCAGCAACTCTATTCTATTGTAGAGTTTAAAAGTAGTTATAACTATTTTAAACTCTACAGTACTCTGTTCCCGTTGATAGGCCTAATCCTACATTTAGTATTAGTCTTCGTTAATATGCACGCCACAATTTCAGTCTCTACATTTCAATTTCTTTTAAAGATACATTACGTGGTTTAACACAAGTTACTTTTAGTTTTAGTCACGTTCAGTCATTTAAATGTCTACCATTTCCTAGTCATTTTTAGCTGTAATAGCTGCTGTTAAAAAGCACCTTATGCACTTTAAACTCACTGCAAGAATAGATTGATAACCTCAGTTTTGGATGAGTATGATGTATTGAGGAGAGAGAGAGAGTTTATTGATCGAAAACAATGTCTAAGAAAGCTCATATTAAGAAGCTTTAGCTACCCAGTCATAACGCTCACTATATTTTGCTAAAAATTGTGCGTACCGGTTCTTCTTTGTTATATCGTGCTATATCTCGACGTAATGTTTTGACGATAATCATTGATAATATTCCTTGAAAAATAAAACAGCTTAACGATTTTTATTAACGATAGAAACATGTACTGGAGAACATACCAGCCAGAAAAAACACAACAATGACAGAATTAATTATTGAAAACCAATGAATTTGAGCATCAGTCATAGCTAAATATGTGTCCCATCGTGATGCCCATCTTGTTTCACTTTTGATCCATTGAACTTCATATGTCATTGTAATTTTATTTTCAGCTACAATTAGAAAAACAAAAAACACATAAATCAAATAGACAGCATAAGTACTTGAAAACATACCACTGTCTGGCTCTATTTTTTGCACAGAATCACCTTCTTTAATTGTACAAGTATCACCATCTACAGTTATTCTTTTATTATCGATGCTCTTTGGTTCAACTTCGAAACCCACGACACGATAGTGTTTACTAAAACAACAACAGTGACAATAAATAGAATCTACGATCGTATGACGTTTAACCTACTCATCTTCTTGATGGTGATAGAGTTTGATTATTAAATGATTATTGAGATATATTTGCTACAAAAAAAAGAAAACAGAAAGAATTTTGCTGCATTCTTGTTTCACTTTAAGATCTAACATTTGTATCTTTGAGATAAACACCAACACGATACCCGTGTTCATATATCGCTTCTCGTGTTTCAACATTTTGAAATTTTGTTGCACATGGTAAATTATCGACTAATCTAAAATTGAATTCAACTGTCACTAAGACGATTAAATGAGACTACATGATTAAACACCTACAAATGAACGTGATAATTATTTTTAATTCGTTTGACTGTTGTTGTACATTGTTGTTTAGATAAAGTGATTTCTGGACAAAGAACTTGGCATTTTGAATCACTATCCATTGTAACCTAATCTCGGGTGAAAGAAAAGTCCAATTAGAAAAATGTTGTGCAATGATGCTAACATACTTTAAAATTTGTATTTACAATACGATCACCACGAAGAATTTCGCCTGAATGAAAAAATACAGTATTCTACGCCTGTTAATTATCTGACTACTTTTTTTTCACATACCGAGATTTTCTGATTTGTATTTTGTTCCATTTGGTGGTTTACAATGTACTGGTAAATCATAATAATCATACGGTAATTGTGTTTTTGTACTAGTCATTTTAACTGCCTAAAAAAAAGAAGGGCTGTATCTATACATCTTTCTTATTAACTTGAATTATTGTATCTTACTCTAACTTCGACTGGATCATGACGTTCGAAATCAGTCGGTGCCACACCCGGAAAATAAAAACATGTTGTTGGTACATATAAACAGCAAAATATGTATAAAATAAAAGATGATCTTAGCGAGAAAACATGACGAGGATTCATCTGAAATAAAATAAAGGTACTTAAATTAAAAGTAGAATATTTAAATTAAAATTTCATAATCTTACAGTTTTGGAAGTTAAAAATAGTTAACGAACGACAGCAACTACAAATATTTCTTTTGATTGTCCTTAACTATTTTTATATTTATACTGAAATTGTATTCATCTTCATTTAACGGAAAGCATCCATCTGAAAAGAATAAAACATTATTATCATTCGCCCTTTGAAATATTATTTCCTTCAACTAGAACCAACAACCTAAAGATTTTATCATAGTCTGATGCGTTCAAAAAATCTGTCATTGACACACGATTTCTGTCTGCACTATTCATGCCACCTAGCCAAAAACAAGTTTTTATCATATAAAATATAATTCAGCCTAGCATATAAACGAAATAAAAAAAAAAGCCTAGCTTTTGTTCAGACATTTATGCTAAAACAATAGTATTACTATCCCATTTTTAGTTATTCAGAGTGGAAATCCAAACACATTGACAGACAGAAAGGGAAGAAAAAATTGTTCTCTCTGTCTGTTCTTCTTTCTGAAAAGTTGAATTAAAATACGAATAGTGGAATTTATCACAGCCATGGGAGTTAACATGAATTCCAGGGCACTTCACGTCGAAACAACAAGACTTTTTCTGTGAATAAAATGAAATTATCAGAAGCTGAGATATCTTTTTGAACAAGTCGTTTACAGACAGCTAGAAATAAAAACAGGAGTCAATTGCTACAATTACAAGTTAAGAGAGTAAGCTGGGCACTATACTACTTCTAATATAATGAAGAAATATCTGTTTATTTATTCATGTATCTTTTCTGCAATAACGGCAAATTTCTGATTCGGACTGACAGTAATCAATCGACATAAGGCGAGAGAAAGAATGATTTCACAATAGAAGCTGTCAGTACAGTCAATGCGAGAAGCAAGTGTATTACCCGACTGTTTTCTAGTGTACTTTCAAGTTTAAAAATCATACATCAGCATGAAAAATGCATAATGTTAGTTTTATGTGTGCAAGCGCAGTAGTTGATATGTTGGTACGCTTATATCGTCCACAATGGAAGTGTGTTTGTTCATCATGATCAAACCAAGTCATTGAAATATATAATATGAATCTATGGATACGAGTTATGGATGACTTGGTTTTTCTCCCATTTACAATTCATTTGACTTTATACTGAAAGTTTCCCTACCAATCAAATATCTAAAAAGTTTTACGAACGTTTGAATATCAGCTAGTCATTCAATCCTTGACTAAAAGAACTTGCTCCGGATAAATGAATAGTATATTTTGAAAAATAGATTGTGTTGTTACCTATACTAGTAGATTATCTGCAAATAGCACTTACGCATATCAACGAAAAAAAATCAATTTGGTTTTGAGTTAATGAAAAGTGCTTTTTCGTATTCAGCACACTCGAGAATCCAGAAGATTTTCTATTTTTGGTGAAAGATGTTTCCAAAAGTTTAGGAAAAATTTTGAAACAAAATAACGTAAAAAGTTTTCCATGGGAAAATAATATTAGTTTGAAAATTTTTCCTAAACTGTTGACAGTATCTCTCGCCAAAAGCAGAAAATCTTCTGTGTTAGAATACAAAAAAGCACTTTTCAGCAACTCAAAATCAACTATATTTTTTTTGTTCCGGTGATATGCACTATATTCAACAACAGTCAGATTATATATTATACTTAACGACAATATTTATTTATTATGAAACAAGATGATATTGACATTGATTCGAAGTCTATACGTACCTACATCTGTAATAAATATTGAATAAACCTTCTTCGACTTTCAGCATTAAAATATTTAAAATACAAATGTGTGCAAAATAACAAAAATGTTCAATCTTTGTTTGAGTAATTTTTTGTTTGATCGCTCTTTAAAAGATTTGAAAGTTAATAATTTATCAACTCAATGTAGATTTTAATCGTCTTGAAAAAATCGTACATTTGTTATCTGAAACATTCAAAATTATAGAAAAGAATTTAAGTAAAATCATTTTACTTAAATTCTTTTCTATAATTTTGAATACACTATGTTTCATTAAAAACGTAAAAAAGTCAAAAAGCATCAATATATTTGTTATCTGATTTTATAATAAAAAAATTGAAATACCTTCTATGAAATGTATATGCACATATCAGAACAGAAAACTTTTATCTTATTTCTGGTAATAATAAATTCTCAACAAGTTCTAATCGCTGTAGGATTGTGACAATTTATTGATAACTATAATGGATTTGCATCTGAATATAATCGAATCAAATATTAATGATGGAAGTAGAAATAATAATAGTGAGGAGCGAATGGCTTCTTTCTAATTGAACTGAACTAAATGAACAAATTTTTAAAACAATGCATTATCATGTACTTAGGAATTAGTAATAGTTTACAAGCAAATAATATAACAAATTATGTACTTTAAATGCTATTGTAAAATAGTTTTTTCATCAAGATATGTATCGGTCATGTTAAAATAAAGATGTTGACGAGATACACATTTGTAAATAAACTATTAGACTATTAGTGATTTTAGTCGCAAATGGATGTCATTTAATATAATGTTGATCATTGATGTACCATACAATATAGTTAAAAATCTTTCAGCTGACAAGTGCGAGTGGTTCCAAATGATGAACCGTTTTTTGCATTGAAGATATGAAAACAAATGTAATCGGCGATACTGGTACCAAATATGAAAGTCGGGACTGCTGCTAGACCTCCAATACCAACTATCAGTTTTGGATATTTTCCAACTCTGTCATACAACGTCCGGTATCCAAGCAGATTTGTACTTAATGGTGGGAAAAGTGTTTCTCTCATACATTCTCTGCTTCTCTTCAATCGTTCTCTCTGTGGTGTTAAACAGATGAACTTAATCAATGAAAAAGGCAGTTGATATAATAAACAAAAAGTAGGAGGACATGATTTCCTTCGCAACGGGTAACTGAATGCGCTCGAAAAACTAGCAATGTTTAAAGTTTTGGTTTTGGAGACCTAGTTTTACAGAAACCATCTCAGAGATCGTTGCCTCGTAAGTTTGATAATCAGAATCAATCGTCTATAAGTTACATATAGCTTGTATTATGGCTGCATACAATGGATTGTCATTGTATCCGACGTGATATCATTAAATCATGCTTTAATTTTAGACATATCACCATCTGGTTCACTAACAAAACTTTTGGATGTATAGAAATTCTTTATGCATACTCCTCTACTCTCAAAATGCCCTTTTCTACACTGTGTATCCGATTTGAACGAAGTCTTGGTAGAGTACACAGGATCTCATTGCTAATTAGTAGGCGTTTCAGGTTGAACATCTGAAAAGAAAACTACTACGAGTCGATTTCTGATTCACTCCACATCGAAATCAAAACTGAAAAATCACCTGAAGCAATTTGTAGATATTTATCTTGCCTTTCAACGAAGAAGAATTGATAGTCTATGCTGTACAATTCTTGAGAAATATACAACTTACCGAACGACAATAGCAAAAGGAGAAAATACATTCATTAGTGAGTGCATTTTAGGAATTCTAGAAAAATGCTCGTAGGTTAAAGCAAAGTCATACAAAATTGCACCACATTTTATTTTAAACACAAAAGTCTGCTATAAAAGTTGATGTATTTGAAAAACGGATTGGATAAGACTTGACTCAGAAAGATTGAAAGTTTTAGAAAAGTGATTCTAGAACGTCCAATAAGTCTTTACAAAATCTATGCAGTGCACTCGCAGAGTGAAGAATGATAAAGATTGATAAAGATCTAGAAGTAAATAATTCAAGCTATTCATTCATGTAAATAACTTGAAATTGGTTTGTGAGAAGGCCTTTGAAGGGCTTTCTTGTAATATATAATACATAAAACTTTACTTTTTTTGATAAAATTAAACGATGCAATATTTATAAAGAGCTGTCTCCCTCCATTTTTGTGATGACTATTAAAAGTCAAAATATTTACCATCCAATAACGATATCCTATCATTTAAATCAATATTATTTTTGTTACATCAAAGGAACATTAGAGCTTCAATCATTATAACTATACATATTTTTCATTTTTAAACGATAGTGACATCGAATGAAGATTATGATGAAAAATATTATAGTTTTTCTCAAATTACTTCTTCAATTTATCTCTAATATTTGTGTACACTGTAGGATAGTCATGAAGGGATATCTTTGTGTGTGCAAATTTATTTTTACTTTCTATACAAACATTTCTATTTCAAATAATCAAGCCAATAATTAATTTATATTACCAAACTGTTCCATATTGATTACACACAAGTGCATAGACTTGTTGACCATCAATCAACATTCCATAATTTGCGATAATGGCCGTATATATTTTTTGTTTTAATAAACTATTTAATTTTTCTACTAATTCATCATACGTTAAACCGAGAAATAATAATGATGAACCTTCTTTCTCTGTTGTCCATAATGCATGAAAACGATAATCACCATTATAAAGATGATATGCTTTTAAATCAGCTATTTTCATATTTTTACTCAATGCTTCAGAATGTTCTCGAAGCAAATCAATATCAGTCATATTATCAATATTATGAATATCGAGTAATTTTGTTTTTGATGTACGCCGTTTAAATATGCCAGAATAATACAAATGTCTACATAAAATATGTGACCGTATCATTCTTGGTATTAAAGTAGAAGTATCTGTTGTCTCACTTAAATTTTCACAAACAAATTTCCATTTATTTTCAATAACAGCTAATGCTAAATAAGATTTTTGTTTTTCATTTTCAACATGAACATTTCGTACAAATAAACAAATATATTTAAACATATCTGGATCTGTACGTCTAACATAGACATCATACATTTTTAATTCATAATTATCTTCAAGTAATTTTGATGCTAATTCTGATAACATGGCTGGATTTAAATCATAATAAAATAAATATGTTTTATTTTTATATAAACGAGTATCATTCCAAATAAAAGTAAAATATTGTTCATCATCTATAGTAACAACATCTATCCATGTTAAATGATAATTATCGTACATAGCCGATAAAAGATATGATTGAATTTGATGATAGGGTACGGATAGAGCGACATGTTGTTTATATGTCTCATATAATTGTGTTCGTTCTTGTTGAGAAGACATATCTAAAAGAAATTTATTTAAAATATTATTTAAATTTTATACTATATAATTATTTGATTACCTCTTAGTAGAAGTATTTCTTTTTTTCTTGTCTCATTTATAAATTCACTTTCTTGATCTGTCAATGGTCTTTCGTTATCAACAAATCTTTGTCTTTTAGAATTAAGATGAAAACATTCTGATACATAAACCGTTTGTTCAATTAATTTAAATAATTGTTCTAATGATTCATTAATTGAAACATTCTAAAATTAATGATAATGTAAATAAAAAAAAATATGTATCTATCCAAGTCTTATTTACCTGATCTAATATTATGGTTGATTTGTATGTTGATTTTAATTGTGTTGTTAAAACCTCGGATGATCGAGCAAATGAGAGAGTAATGACGGGTACTATTATTGGTAATGTAAACTTAGTTTGATGCTCCTTTGATTACAAAAGAAGAATATAGATATGATATTCTATATATTCTCCTAGAAAAAATAGTTTCAGTCATGTTTTGGAATTTATTATCAATATACAAATACATTTTAGAAAAATACTTATATATTCTGGTAGCGCTTGAAACGCTACTTTCCCAGCCTGGATTCAACATTACTTGCTAGAAAAAAGTTCGAATATTATTAATGCCTCCCACCTATTCCATTCCCATGAATTGGATGTGGCCTCTCAGTATTTTCTGTTTCTCTCGTGTTTGTTTAGGACACAAAGGTTAATGTTTTTTTAAAAAGATGCGACGCGAAATATCTATAAAACCATACCTAAACTTCAATCAAGAAAACTATGCAGATTATACGAAAGACGAAAAGAATGAAAGTTTTGTAAAATCAAAAAACGATTTCATGTGTTAGCGTTTTGAACGTAAGAAAAACTGAATTAACCCTTATGCAGCCCCGACTTCACTCTATCTTTTAGCTACATTTCAACTTTTTTCACATCAAAACCCATAGAGAAATAATGATTTTCCTATGTATTGTCAGGCAATTGTTCATTAGTTTTTTATTTCTACGTATAGTGGTGCTTTTAGTAAACGTCCCATAACTCTATCAGAACAAAAGATTCTTCACCCAGGTTTGTTTTGTTTTGATCAGAAATGATTACTCTTTTCTGTGTAACTGCGTTAATGTTTACAGTTTCTTGCTTCGGCACATTGTTGGAAACGGGAGACTGTCAATTTTTGACTTATTTTTGAAACTTCGTTCTAGGCCACATCATCTGTTCTAAAAGATTTTTTACAGACTATGAGAAAGAGCACATTCCAAAGTACAAAAAGAACTGACTTTTCACTTTTGCAACCCTTTTTCATGAAAATAACAGCAGACGAAAAAGGTTCATGTGGAAAAAATATCAGACTTTCAAAGCTTTCATTTTTTTGGCTTATGCATAACCTGCGTAGTTTTCTTGATTGAAGTTTAGGTATGGTTTTATAGAGTATTTCGCCGCGCAACTTTTAAAAAAACATTAACCTTTGTGTCCTAAACAAACACGAGAGAAACAGAAAATACTGAGAGGCCGCACCTAATTCATGGGAATGGGATAGGTGGGAGGCATTAAAGGCACGCTCCCTCCTTTCTGAAAAAATTTCGGATTTTGAGCTGAGCATAGACTAATGTAGAGAAAAGTGTGGGTTACAAAATGAGACCACTCCCAGCACTCCATAACCTTTCTTCAAAAAGTTATGCATTTTTGAAGTTTTTCCTTCAAAGCCTAAAAAAACTCAGTTTCATAAATTTTTCTCTTCTTTTCTGTACATTCAAAATTTTTCTTACACATAATCTGATAGAAGAATGTGTTTTCTTCACAATGAGATGTTTTCTAGAATTTTCTGATGAGTTTTCGTAGAGATATAAGCATCGCGACAAATGCCATGAAAAAAGTGGCCTATGTACAAAATGCGTTTTTTCTCGAAAACAATTTTTTTGCTACCACGCTTTATTGTGTCACATTACAACCCCCTTAAATTTCATCCGACCGAGTTCAAAATTTTACCAGAGGTACTCAAGGTCATAGCGTAGAGGAGTAATTTTGGAATTTTATTTTAGACCTTTCTTTACCGAGTTATAGGGTTTCTAAAATTGAAGACCTTGGCTTTTGAGACGTTTCTCAGTAGTTTTCCTATAACTCGACCGGGAAAGGTCTCAAAAAAAATTCCCCAAAATTTCCTCTGCTGAATGACCTTGAGTACCTCTGCTAAAAATTTTGAACTCGATCGGATGAAATTTAAGGGGGTGGGTCGTAATGTAACACAATGAAAAACCGAGTTTTCTGGAAAACTGGTGAACGGTAATAGCTGAAAACTTCAGACAAAAACGAAAAACCGCTCCATTGAGTTCCCAATCAGTTCTAAAAATACGAAGCCCTAGGGACTTTTAGTTTTTATTTCACAGCATTTCTACGGAAAGCCCAAAAAGAGGGGAGGGGTACCTTTTACAATATTCAAAATTTTTGCTAGCAACTAATGTTGAATCCAGGCTGGGAAAGTAGCGTTTCAAGCGCTACCAAAATATATAATTATTTTTCTAAAATGTATTTGTATATTGATAATAAATTCCAAAACATGACTGAAACTATTTTTTTCCAGGCGAATATATTGAAAACAATTATCACTTTACCAGTGCATAGAGTAACATCCACGAACACCAATAAGACCTGTACCAATATTCATCAATAATCGGTATAAATAATTTTGATCGTAATACTTGACAAGCTAATTTTTCGTAATAATTTTCAACAAAATTAATATCGTCCGATGTATAATACACAATTTGTCGTCTATACACGAAAAAATCTGATTTATACAAATTTTTTTGTGTATGATTAGTACCTTCTACATTGCTCTTTTAATATCTGAGCAATCATGCCACAATCTTTTGAACATGGATTAAAACATAGAAATACATCGACACCACATGCTTCTTGAGTAACGTGCGACATGAACACTTTTACTCAATAGATGCAGTTAAAAAAATTTAAAAAGAAAAATTGTTTTCGTTTAATAATGTGGTTTGAGAATTCCGTTTTTTACTTTTTTTCATTTTCTCTGTTCTTTAGAAAAATCAAATCAGTGTGACAAAACTCTGTTTTTCTTTTCATTTATGATATTTCTTTTCAATTATAATACGACACTTGAAAAAATATTTTTTTACATTTATTTATGAAAAAACTATTAACAATATAGGCTTCTCTTCGTTGATGGATAACAATAAAATAATGAAGCCGCCTATGGTACTTTTTATGATTACACTAAATATAATAAAAATTGATTTTGATTCTCGTCTCTCATCCATCATATATAGAACTTTTGTTAAATGTTCTTTTCCATGACGGAAGGGCTTCATAGGCAGCTCCTTCATAGGCTCCTGATATGTCTTGGTGTTCCGTAATGTGGCATATTTGGTAAGCTTTTTAAAAGTCGGAAAATGCCAGTGTATGAAATGAATGTGTCCCCAGGACACCTTCGATTTTGCTTCCATTTGCTGTCAAATTATCCAATTGTTGTTTGACACTGTCTTTGAGTGGAATCGTATTCACAACTAAAACATTTCCATTTTTCAATTGAATAACAGACATGCGCGTTTCGATATCAACAATTCCAGTTAAAACTTTGAATGAATGACGAACATTCCAAAATCCTGGTCTAATTTCGATCAATTGATCTTTCTCATCAGCCATGGCGTGTAATGTCGTAAATTTTTTAAACTGAAATGAAGTATTTAAAGATGTAAAAAATGAACCCATCTAAAATTTGTTTTTTTAAGTTCTACTAGTAGAAATTCTAATTGCATAAGATGACCCGCGTAGAAACGGTCCATTAAGCATACCGTTGTTGGTCAACCACGTGGACACCAACCATTTCAATAAGAAAAGACAGAGAATAGTTTATCATATAGACTCTACAAAACCTGATAGTTTTTTGACTGAAAACATTATTTTTCTTCAGTGAGAATAATCATCAAGGGTAGTGTAATGCATTAGACCCCACATTGATGACGTCTGCAGTAAGGAAGACAATAGTGGTTGAGTAGTATACTTTTTTTTAAAAAACGATTTGAATACGCTGAGAAGTACTTTAGAAAGTTAACCACTTTGGAACTTCTCTGTAGTTTTCATGTACCTATTTACTTTCATATTTCGTAATAAAATATTCAATACGTTTTTTGTAGAGAATTTCAAGACGCATCTTTTGGGCGAAAAGATGGTTCTTGAAATTCTCTAAGAATGTAAGGGGGAAAAGTTATGGTCAAAGTATAGAACGGTTTATTCTTTATGGTTCACACGTTATATTCGCACTTCTGCAAATGTCTTGAAGGGAAGGGACTCTGGTCGTATCGCGAAGTACCTGTACAGAAGACATATTTGTTGTGCAAACAGCAGTATCAGATCTGACCAATCCATCTTTTAAAAGAAAACGATGAATAAATACTATGGAATTAGATATCAAACTATTTATACTACCTTATCCATTTTCACTCAAGTGCCAAAATCAGTCAACTTTAAATGTCTTCGAGAATTGAGTAACATGTTATCTGGCTTAACATCTCTAAATTAATAACCATAAATGGGATCAAACTAATTTAATGCGTTGGTTTTCACGCAACAACCTGTGAATATAGTCTAATGAATGTATTGCATCAAGTGCCAAAACAACTTCGGCACAATAAAACCATTTCGAAGTTTTATTAATATCGTATCGTGTTAATAATGTAATAAGATCGCCACCAGGCATGAAATGCATAATCATATGAAGATTTCTTGCATCTCGAAACGCATAATGTAATTGTACGAATCTTACGGCTAAACGTATGATATTATTTCGTTCGTGTAAGTGTATATCTAGTTCATCCAACGCTACACGATGATAACATGCTTTGAGGAAACTTTTAATTTGTCTGTTGAAATAACAATCCAGTGGCTGTAGCTCGTCAGTTGTATTTTGTGGTATTTGTAAACGTGTGACCTTTTTACCGCCG